TACTTCCCTTCCCATTTGACCCCAGAAATCAGGATGCAGAGGGAAAGAGGTGGAGGAGTTAAGGGAGGAAGCGCAGTAGTACCTGTTGCTGGTGCTCCAACAAGCGTCGCCACTCTCTGGGAAGACGCTCGAAGTCAATCTTCAGGAGACAACAGTGGAGGGGGGCAAAGAAGAGAGGGGCAAGCATCTGAGCCCTCCCCACCTCGGGGAAGTGTTGGAGGAATGAGAGACTAGCCGACCCAGAGGGCCAGAAGCTGGAAAATGCCCCCCACCCCAACAGACACACGCGCGCGCGCGCGCGCGCGCACACACACACACACACACACACACTTGGGGTGGGATAAGGACTAGGAGTGGAGATCAGTGGGAAGGGGGCCATGTCCACAAGTCTGGCAATGGCCGAAATTGCAGTTGAGGGAGACAAGATCTCCAAGAAAACGTTTCAGATTTTCAATTCACCTTCCTCAGAAGCCATATGTGGACTCTGACTGGGTTAGGTGCAGAATTGACACCTTTCTCCCCCATCACAAGACCTCTGGACACTGGCCTCTGTCCCTCTCCTTTCCGGACCTCCCTTGAAGACTGGAGACATTTGATGTTACTGAGAACCCAGTGCCTGCCTCTTCCCTCCAAGGTCCCTGGAAAATTTGATTTTCTGCTCATTTTCCTCACTTTCCTCCCCTGCCTCTGCCACCACCATTTCCAAAGGGTTTGTAAGATCTAGGAGTAATGCCCACCCGGCTGGAGGAAGGACGCTGACACCTTTCAGATGGCCTGGGAGCTGGGCTGAGCATCCATCTATTCAGTTCCCTGAGTTCCCAACTGCTGAAGGCTAGGGTCACCTGCCCAGACACACTGAGGTGCTTCAAATCCATGGCCAAAGTCTAAGCAGAAATGGGGAGCCGCCCCCACCAAAATATTTGCTTTCAGGCAGGGCTGGTTCCAGGCTGGCTCGGTCACCTGAGGGCCACACTCTCCGGGCAGGGCCTCCCTAGGCCGCCACTCCCAGGGCACTGGCAGAGCACATGCTGGCCGTTAAGCGCCCAAATAATATTCTTCATTCATTCGTCTTTTTCAAAGTTGATTTATAGCAATCGACAGGTTAAAGCCTCATCTGACTTCATTACTTTTAAAAGCTGTCTATTTCACAACTGTCACTTTTCATCACTTAACTCAAATAAATACTTGAACAAATGAATTGGAAGAGACTTTTAGATCATGTTTATGATTCTTGGTGGCCACGTTAACATTCCTAATGACCTGACCCTCTGAGTTTCCGTAGACTCCTAAATTGAGCCGAAAATTCTTGCATTTATACTAGAGAACTGCAAGGAAGATGAGATGGCCAGAAATACGGGGTAAAAGAGGAGGTGCTGCTGGCCAGGAGTCTGCAGCCAGTGCAGGCTCAGCAAAGCTTCCCGGAGGCCGCGTGAGCCCAGCCGGGTACCGAGGCCACTGGGGAGGAGGGCAGCTCAAGGGTCAAGGCGTTCTGGTGGAAAGAGCTGCTGAAAGGAAAGCCCAGCCTAACCAACGCGCTGTTCGCTCGCCGTTGCTCTAGATTCACAGAGCTGGGCTGCAAACCCACAAGGAAATTCACGCACGATGGAAGTGCTGTTCATTATGACTATTACCACTGTTATTCCTATCGTTTCAAAATAGATTTTAAACATCCCCACGACCGCAGGTTGGGGGTGGCGAGGTAAAAGGCATTTCATCCCGGTCATCTTTAACGTAGAGTGTGTGAGATTCCCAGGGAAGGCAGACGTGTGGAAAGGAAATCGTATGGACGGAAGTGCGTTCAATAAATTGAAATAGCTTCTTCAACTTTGCTGCCATTTGCCTGATGCTGGGTCTTCTTGGGCTGGTGTTACTTTTTTCCCCTCTCTCTCCTCCACTCACCCACTCACACAGAACCAGCTCTCAGAAATAGGCCAAAAAAAAAAAAGGAAAGAAAAAGAGAAATTGAGAAACAGAAAAGAAAGAAAAAATAAAGAACGAAAAGGAAAAGTAAGGGAAATTACAAGGAAGGAACAGGAAAAGAGAAACCTATTAAACAAGATAACTGCTTAGTTGGGGGAGACAAAGCGATATCAAGTCCATAAGATTTGCTTTCCTTTATTTTTTTTTTCTTGAAAAAAGTAAATAGAGGGGAAGTCTCCCCTGGGAAGTTGGAAGACTCCCTGGTGTTTGGGGCTGGCCTCCCCGAAACGGGCCGAGACCGACCCCGCGCGCGGGTCCGGGAGGCTCCGGGGTCCCCGCACCCTCGTATCAGCCTCGCCCGGGTGCCACCAGGAGCGCGAACTGCGCAGATTCTGGAAGGAAGCGGGCCCCCGACTCGGCCTGCCGGGTTACTCGCTGCCGCCGCCAGCTCCCCGTGCCGCGGCCTCGGGCCTTCGCCTACCCCGCGGACCGGCGGGCTCAGCGGGTCCGAGTGCTCCCCGACTTTTAGCGCCGAGGCGCGAGCAAGCCGGCGGCAGCGCGGGGCGGCGGCGGCTGCCTCACTGCGGGAACGCGTCCTGCACACTCGGTCGCCGCCAGCCCTGCGCGCTGCCGTACCTTGGAGCGCCACCTAGCTGCGGAAACTGGAATTGCGCGGCCGTGCCTCCCAGCCTTCTGCAGCCTAACTTGAACCTCACCGGACTTTTTTCTCTATCAAAACCATAAAAGAAGCCGAAACGGGCTTTCCTCCCGTTAGTTAAAACCTATTATCTGTGACCGATATATCCCACAATGTCTGCACTGGAATGAAGGGAAAACAACAGGAGAAAGAGAAAAAAAATACAGCTACAATTTCACCAAGTCTAAATTGCGACGGTGTTTTGGTAAAAAAGATAAAGGAGGGATGACTTCTCGGAGGCCATGAGTTCGGACCGCCGTGTTCAGGCCACTCAGCTGTGGCCAATGCAAATATTTCCCATGAGACAGGCATTTATGCAGTTATCCCTTCCCAATTACTATTTCCACTTAAATTCACTCATTCTGGTCAGTCGGACATCAGAGGCTTTCTGCCTTGCCAGGGGCCAGTCTACTGGAACCTCTTACCCCGCAGCCTTCCGCTCTGCTGACAAACTAACCACCCAGTGCAGCCCCCAAATATGTACACCTCTTGGCCTGTGAAAGCAACTGGCAAAAGTTACAAACTACACCGCATTTCTCTCCAACGTGCAACTGGCGCATTTGACTCCATTTTATTCAGCAGTTAACTTAAGAGGTTGTCCCACTCTTAAGTCCTTAGAACTAAAAAATATGCAGAAAAGTTAATTCACTTATACAGTGAGTCGTCACTTCAGTTTGTTTTCAAAGGACACTGCCCCAAGATAGGTGTTATAAGTAAAAACAAACTTCGCAAAACAAAAATTTTCCTGTAAAGACGCCAACCATGGTGTTAAAAGCAGAGTGTGTATCCTGTGGTCCTGTGAGTATTTGTGTGGTTTCTTTGTTTTGAAGGGGGTACAGACCTTTTCCTAGAGTAGTTTTGACTACAAGTTTGGTTTTGTTTTTGTTTTAAGGAGCAACTCATTGGGTCCCACATACAATGATGGCTAAACGGGAACTCTGGGGTGGGGGTGGGGCAAGTGTGTGGTGGTATAAGCCTCGGTATTTCCCTGCCTGAGCAAACCAAGCATATAGGACCTTTCGTGAAACTGAACCCTCCCTGAGTTGGCAGGGTGAACTCCCAAAGGGCTGGCGGGTGCTGGAAGAGTGCTCGTTCTCTCTGCTGCTTCACTCCCCACTGCAGATGAGGGGGGCTCAGAGAGCCCGTGCTCAGAAACTACAGGACTGCACCAGGAAAATACCCGGGGTAGCTTTCTGGATGGTTGGTCCCTTCTCCATCACCCCAATTTCCTCATCAGGATGTGAATGAGGATTCCTTACACCAGCCAGCTAAGGGAGGGTGGTCCAATCCTTGGGAATCTTGTGTGTTACATGCCTGGAGGGGTGTACTTTGGGGACAAGGGAGTTGCTAGAGATCCTGAGAGGTAAAAGGCAATGGCTGAGAGGGCCCTGGGGTCCACTGAGGGAAAGCGATGGAGAACAGGGGACAAAACAGAGGTGAGCAGAGCATTAGAAAACGATACTCTTGAATCTCTGTGCCTACGGTTTTGAAAAGGGGAGTCTCTAAATTGGAAAGGTTTCCCTTCTCTCTCTTTCTGCCTCCCTACTTCTCTTCCCTCCTTTCACTTCTGTCTTCTCCACCACCTCCTCTTCTCACATTCATATTTGCTGTTTTTTTTTCCCACCGAATAATGCCTGGAGATGAAAAATGGTTTTTATTGCTATTACACTTCCTACCGCAAGATGCAGTGCAAGGCGGCAGAGTTTGTATTACAACTATGTCACAATGTTTCACTGATGCAAAACATGTAGCCAGAGGGTGTTGCTAATGACTCCTGGATTAGAGGGAGATTGAGACTGGGAGAAGGAGAAAGAGAACAAGAGAGAGACGGAGGAAGGGAGAAGAGAGAGGAATTTCATTAGAGGGAGGGGGAGGGGAATCACCACATAATCAGGTCTAATAATCTAATCAGGATATTTTCAGATTTCAAGCTTCTTTCCACGCTTGAGAGTGTGAGATAGAGACCAGTATCCTTTTAACCACCACAAAGGTTTTTTTGCACGTTAATAACTATTAATTATGTTTACAGCCAGTTAGATGAAGACGTCTCCCTTGGAAAGGATCAAACTTCGGAAAACGCTTAATATTAGATTAACGGCTTTTCCTGGAGCCGAGGCAGCTTGGAGGGAGGTGGGGACCCGATAATCACCCAAGAGTGTGCGAAGCGCAACGCCCCCACCCGTGGTCCTGCACACAAGCCTGTGACAGCCTGGGTAGGGCCCAAGAGCCCCGCCAGGGCTGTGGCGAAGCGCGGAGCGCTGCGTGCGGCCCGGACTCGGCCTCCGCTCGTCTGGGCGAAAACGTCTCTCGGGCTGCGAACTCCTCGGTTCCCTCCCCCGGAACGAGCTCTACTTAGGGAAGCGGGAGGTTTCGCGGTTCCTACCGTGGCCCAGGCCGATCCCACCGCCCTGCGGTCCGCTTCTGCCCCCTGGGGCACAGCGAAGAGGGCATTCCCTCGGGCTGCAGCCCTTTGAACCCGGAGAGCCCTGGGTCCCGCCGGGACGCACGGAGCTCGCTCGGGGCCGGGCTGCGGAGGGAGTGTGGGTGGCGGGTGGGGTGGAAGGGGAGTGCGGGAGGCGGGAGGGGGCGAGGGGGCGGAGGGGCGGGGGCAGGAGCCCGGCGTTAAGCCTGGAAGCTTGGCTGTTTACCCAAACGATTTTCTTTTCAGGGCCGAGACGCCAATGAGACAAGATCAAACTCCCCTCTTCGGTGTGTGTGTGCGTCTGTGTGTGTGTGAGTGTGTGTGTGTGTGTGTGTGTGTGTGTGCGTGCGTGTGTATTGCCGCCTCCAAGCAGGCTTTGTGAATGAGGGTTCCGGGACGCCGGCTGGGAGGCCGCCCCAGGCACCAGCGCCTCCTCCCGGGGGCTCCGAGAAGCCAGGCTGAGGGCGGGGGCCTGGGCGCGCCGAGGGGCGCCACCGAGACACAGTGGTCCGGAGGGAGAGAAGAGGGCGGCAGGGACACAGGCCTTGGGGAGCTGAGGGCTGCGTCGCCAAAGGCCGAGCCGAGAGACTCAGGGTGGTGTGTGTGGGAGGGGAAGAGCGGGACGATCACATGAATCATGTCCTCCTTGCAGTGTCTTAGTTCCGATCCCTCCAAAGCTGAAATCTAGCTCCTTAGGCCACTGATTTCTTGCCGTCTCCCTCGCTCGAGACAGACTAGTTGCAAATTAGGCCAAGGTTTTGGCAATTACGATACAACGCAGGCCCACGCATTCGCCCGGCCTGCCCCTGGGATCCTCCTCGAGCAGGAAAAAATGGTTAGACAGCAAGAGGGGATGGATGGTCTGTATTGACAAGACCTTTGTCACCTTTAAAGGAGTCTACCTCCAAGAATATCCATCAGCCTGGGGAGAGTCGGGCGGGGGAAGGAACAGGAGCCGACCCAGCGGAGGCCCAGCCGCGCGCAGCAGGTGATCGCCGTCGTGGGCGTGGCTTCTGCTGCTCCAGTGTCCACCTAGGACTGAGTTGTCGTTTTCAAAACAACATTATTATTAGTGCTATTGATAATAAGATGAATCAGGGAAACAGGGGTATATATTTTTAAGGTCTAAGATCCGTCTACGTGTCATTGTATGTGTATTTAGTGGTACTTCTCTGACAACTCTTTCCCCTTGGTCCAGGCTGATTAAAAGCTTACCAAGAGAATTCTTCTGGAGGAAAAGATATTCCAATGCTTCTCACTCAGCTACTATTTGCTCCTTCTGCTTCTGCCAGCGCCTTTATCACCCCCTACACAATTTCCTCACTGAAAGGTCCCTTTTTTATTGTTTGTAAACGGCGAGCCCTTCTCTTTCCCAGGATGTTCTTATTTAACGGAAATTCCCCTCCTGGCGCTGCCCTGGGCAGGGAGCATTAGGGACTTGATAACACTTGCTCAGGCCTCAATGTCTTCTGCGGGGGCTGGCTCAGGCCTGGACAAACCTCAGGCGCCATGGGGTTTCATCCAACACGCCCGGGTGGAGAGCTGTGGCTCCAGGGCTCAGAGCAGGTAGAGACAGCTGTTGGGCCCCTGGGCACAAAAAAGGGGGTTTGGGGACCTCAGCTGTGCTGTAGCTGGTGTGGAATAAATGCTTGCAAGCCAGGATATACTCAAGGAAGAAACCCGATATGCCTAATAATAATAGCTAACATTTATTGAGTGCTTACTATGCACTAGTCATTGTGTTCATATCCCTGGGAACCTCCAAACCTAAAGACAAAGCACATTAGCCAAAGGTGGGCCTTGGAGTGGGGAGGTGGGATGGGGCAGGCAGGTAGCCAGGTGGGTTAGATCGCACGGTTGGGATTCGAGGTTTCTGCCCCACCAGGCGTTCTCCCAGCCAGGAGAGGAGGAGCGCGCTGGCGGTCAGAAGCCGGGCCCAGGCGTCCTCCTTCCCTGCCTGTGGTCCTCTGCCCCGCGTCGCCATGAGCTGTGTGGGACCCAGGCCACCGGCTAGGGAGAGGGCAGGCCGGCAGGTTCCAGTGACTGCCGCGCTTCTTCATGCTGCAACTATGGAGGAAAGGAGGCTGGGCTGTGGGGGCCGTGAAGGCCAGGCCCGGGCCGGTGGCGAGTGCTTGGCGCGCCGAAGCCAGGCTCACGGCCAGGCCCAAGGTCCCGCGTCCTGCGCCTCCTCCCGCCCAGGTCGCGGCGGCGCTGCTCCAGGCGAGGTGCGCCTCCCTAGCGGTGCCAGGGGGCGCTTGACCGACTCGGGCCTCAACAGCCAAGGAGGGAGTCTCCAGCCTTCGCGGCCTGTGCGCGCCCAGGACAGAAGCCAGGCGCAGGCCGCGCTGCCCTTCGCCGCGCTCAGGCCGCTCTCCAAGCTCGAGGCCGCCCTCGAGAGTGGGAGCTCTGCTCCTTCCGCCGCCTCGTCCTCCCATCCCCCCTAGAGCAGGAGCTGGGGCGTGCCGGCGACCCTGTGCCGTGCCCCTCGAGGATGGAAAAAAGCAGGCGCTGCACTCTGTCTGGAGACAAAAGGCCTTCGCGCTCTGGCTCTTCCAGGCTTGGCTGCCGAGTGTTTCGCACCCGTCTCCATCTATGCAGAGGAGGCAAGAGCAGGTGGAAGTTTCGTTGCAGGGCTGGCTCTGAGCAGGGAGCGTTGATTGATCCCAGAAATTGTACACCTCTAAGGGCAGAGGCACAGCCCAGGCATCTGCTCCAAAAACATACAGTATGCCCCCAGCACTGCCTGCTAACCCCCATCCAGCTATCCTCCTATAAAGGGGCCCTGTCGTTGGGTTTTTTTTTTTCTCTTCCCTTCCTAGACTCATTGCAAATCACCTGGCAGCGAGGAAAAACGCCCGCCTGCAGATATCGACCTGCCGAGGTCACTTCTTTCCCTAAAAACGACTCTGGCTTTCCTTTTTGTAGTACACCCAAGGGAGACTTCACTGGTTTTAACATTAAAAAAAAAAAACAACAACCAAAACTCTCATTGGGTGTGAGATGCGGCTGGAACCCGCGGGGTCTGCTGCCTCCCCAACACGGACTCCCTGCTGCACCTGGAAAGCTGGCGCTGCAAAGAAGAAATAATCTTTTCCCGCAGTCTATCATTTTGGTATTACAAATAACAACTGTGGAGCGAAAAAATACCCCTGGCCTAAGAATATTGATAGATGATAGTAGCGATATTCACAATCGATCCTTTAATAGGCAGACGTCATAAATCATGTTCAATTCCCTGACAGCACAGTACTTCACTTAATAATATAATTAAGATTAAAACTCGAGAGGTATTGGAGGCAGCGGGTATTGATAGCTTCAAAAATTGCATTCTGGATATGATGGGAGAAGCAAAAGGGACCTTTGGAAAATACAACCCCTTTGCCAAAAGGTGGGGTCTTCCAGGTGCTCCTGTCCAGGGAGCCGTTTTGACCCTGCCCCAGCTCCCCACCCCCAGACACACACCTTTTTTCCCCACCAGTAATCCCCATCTCTGATAGGTGAGCAGAGTAGGCCAGCTCTTCCTTAGAAACTGTATGAAGGAGGAAAAGGAGAAATGGGCTTGGCCTGGGTAGTTCTCTGGATTTAGGAATCCCTCAAAGGTCCATTCCTTCGGTCTTGAATGGGGAGAACAAAATGTTCAGGAGACCTAGGAAATGATGTTGTTCAGTTCTTCCATTACAATTAATTTCCTCAACAGTGTTTTCAAAATTACATATAAATCACTAGTGGTAGGCAGGTACGCTCGTCCCTTGCATCCCTACAGTTTAAATGCCTATAAGCCCTTCCAGCTCCTCTTTCCAGTTACGATCATGTGCCTAATGATGAAAACCAAAACTTCACAGGAAGAGCAAAACCAAAGAGGCAAGGTCCCATGCAAGGTGACGATCTGCTCTTTGCTTCATAGGTAGAGCCCATGGTGAGTGTGGCTAAAATTATTTCAAAGAGTGGAATATTAATCCAATCAATCAGAGCTGACAAATGAGAAATATCTGAAAGCCAGTGGTAATTTACAACTTTGTTATTAGTTAAGAATCGCCTGCCTTGTAACAGTAATTAATAACACTTAGAGAGAAACCATTTGGAAAACCCCCTCCCATTCTTTTTATTTCCCTCTGTCTCTCAGGGAAGGAAAGAGAAAGGAAGTAAATGAGTGATCAGTAGAAACAGGAAAAACACTGAGTCGTTTGTGGGGAGAACAAAACTGGAAAATATAAAAGAAAGGGAAAAAAGATTAGCCCCATGGGAGGCCATCAGGAAATAAAGAAAATATGGAAGGAGGGGTAGTAAATCAGAAAATGAATTCTGTAACTATAACCCATGAGCAGGCTGGCTAAAGGTTGAATTTCAAACGGCCCAGAAACCTCATCAAATGAACAGTGCTGCTAAAAAATCTTGAAAGTGGCTCAGCTCTGAATCAAGGCAGAGCTCAGGGCATTGTCTGTTTTGTTGTTGTTAACAATGTATTTCTTTATAGCCCAGAAGCAGACGTGTGCAGGCTCTTTCCCAAATTCCATCCCTGGAGACCGACCGGCTTTCATGTTTCTGTGTTAACTCTAGTCTTGGTCACAGATGATACCCACCCCCCAAGTCTTACATTGATTATTAGATTGTCTCAGCCCCACCTAAACAACACACCAAAATAATGACTTGTTGAAAAACTATAAATCATTTCAGTGTCTGGGCTTGGAAAACCACTTCAGTCAACAGGCTTGCTGTGAAAAGGTAAAGAAATTCCCAACCTCCTGGTCACTGAGGAAAAGCTGCTACTTCCCTGAACTTTCATTTGTTGGATGAGGGGATTTTTCAGGTTGGTTAAAAAAGGATGGAGGGAAAAAATAACTTTGGCAAACTTTATCTGGTCATTATAATAAGCCCCTATCTTGTCTCACTGAGCTCAGGCTGGGTCTACAGAAGGTAGCTGAAGATTGAGATTTATTGGTCTCTAAATGAAAAGATTCATTTGATGTAAGAGGTTAACTAAAAGTTCCTATACCGTGACTAGCTCCGGCAAATGCCTCTGTTGAGTCAGCACAAAAGCAGTTGAAAGAAATCTTAAAAACACACACAGATACACAGAAACACACTTGCTCACTTAAGCCGCAAATGCAGTTCTCTT